GCCCCAAAACAGCAAGGGACTTTCCAGGAAATGTAAGCTCCAAAGGCACTTTTGAAAATGGAAGTCACAAACTTTAATCTTTGAAAGACCTTCAGAAAATTTGCCAGGCATGTGTGTCAGATCACGCACAAATGTACCTGGATTTCCCTAAGCAGTCTTGAAAATGGGTCTAAACTGCAGGATTTTAAAAGAACTATACATTTTGAGTATCATACTGAATTCCTGACATCAGAAACCCTTTTTGGACGTCAAAACCTCAAATGAGTAAAGGCATAAGGTCAAGGTAAGATTTTTGCCATGCTAGCATTTGTGGGATGCGTTTAGTCCAAATGCTGTTCCTATGGCTTGTCGCTTAATCTAAGCAGAATTCCTTTCAACTCCCTTTGGGTGCATGACTCAAGGGTAGTGAATATGGCTGTCTAGGAAACTCACAGCCTCTTCTCCATGCAAAGATACATCCCAGGTTAAGATTACAAGCAGAGTCAAAGGCAGCCTCTAGAGAAGACAAAGCTTGTTTAGCTGAATCAGTGACTTCTTGACATTTTCCTGTCATTTTACACAACTTAGGTCAGGCTTTGTGGCACCTTAAAAGCATGACCTTTAATTTCCAGACAAGTGAGCTTATGCCAGGAAAGCGGCATAATCCATTAGTCACAAATCACTAATCTGGGGTTGTTCTGGGGTCATACTGCTTTATTCCAGACCCACTGCAGTGGAGCTGTTGGAGCTGTCTTGCCCATTAGTAGAGCGGGGGTTGTAAATTTGATCTCTCCAATCCTCACTTACCTAGTTTCATAGGTTCATAGTAGGTAGGGTCGGAAGGGACCTGAGCAGATCATCAAGTCCGACCCCCCGCCATGGGCAGGAAAGAATGCTGGGGTCAAGTGACCCCGGCTAGGTGTCTGTCTAGCCTCCCTTTGAAGACCCCCAGGGTAGGAGCGAGCACCACTTCCCTTGGAAGTTGGTTCCAGATCCTAGCTGCCCTGACTGTGAAGTAGTGCCTCCTGATGTCTATCCTGAATCTACTCTCCATCAACTTATGGCTGTTATTTCTTGTTACTCCCAGTAGTGCTTGGGGGAACAGGGACTCTCCCATTGCCTGCTGGTCTCCCTTGGCCAGTTTATAGATGGCCACCAGATCCCTTCTCAGCCTCCTCTTGTGGAGGCTGAACAGGTTCAGGTCTTGTAGACTTTCCTCATAGGGTCTGCCCTGCTGCCCCCGATCATGCGAGTGGCCCTCCTCTAGACCCTCTCAATGCTGTCCACATCCCTCCTGAAGTGCAGCGCCCAGAACTGGACACAGTACTCCAACTGCGGCCTGACCAATGTCATATAGCGGGGGAGGATCACCTCCTTGGACCTGCTTGAGATGCATCTGTGGATGCATGACAAGGTGCGGTTGGCCTTCCTGACCACGTCCCCACACTGTCGGTCCATGTTCATTTTGGAATCGATAATGACTCCAAGATCCCTTTCTGTCTCTGTGCTGATGAGAAGGGAGTTCTCCAGCCTATAGGTATGCTGCTGGTTCTTCCTCCCTAGGAGCAGTATCCTGCACTTGTCAGTATTGAATCCCATCTTATTCTCATCCACCCACCCCTGTAACCTGTCCAGATCCATTTGCAGCCTGTCCTTCCCTTCTAGCATGCCCACTTCTCACCACATCTTAGTGTCATCTGTGAATTTGAACAAAGTGCTTTTCACCCCCTCATCCAAGTCGCTGATGAAGATGTTGTACTGGACCGAGCCCTGGGGGACCCCACTGCCCACATCCCTCCAGGTCGAAAATGACTCATCCACCACCACTCTCTGGCTGCAGCCCTCCAGCCAGTTAGTGACCCAATTGACTGTGTAGGCAATGACACCACAATCTCCTAATTTTTTAATAAGAATGGGGTGAGAGACAGTGTCAAAGGCCTTACTAAAGTCTAGAAAGACTACGTCCACCACGACACCAAGGATTTTGTGACCTGGCCGTAGAAGGCCACCAGGCTGGTCTGACAGGACCTGCCTCTAATGAACCCATATTGGTTGCCCCGAAGCATACACTCCCCTGTTTGCCCCTACATGAAGATTTACTCAAACAAATGACTTGGACTGTCTGAATCAAGCCCTTATCCAACTCTCCTTCACAGCACTGACCTGAAAGCTACCCTTAAGCAGCACTTCAAGTTCTCCCACACTGCAGGGGGATATTCAGCTGAATGAACCATTCCTACACTTCTCTCTCCAGGCCCTTCTCGCAGCCTGGATGGGAGCACTCCTGGCTAGGTTGGGAATGAGGAGAGGGTGTGTCAGAGCCAGGGATGGGGCTAGAAGACAGTGAGATCCCATGATGCAAACCAGCAGACTGTCATTTTGGGAGTGATCTGCCAGCACAAGTTAGAAAAGCCTAAGGCTGCTCTAACTTGTCATGGACTCATTCAACCCCAGGCTGCCTCCAGGACTGAGGAGCAGAAGACAGAAAGGTGATGGATTACGGAAGGCTAGCTATGCACTTTCCTCCCAACTGCAAATACACAGCATATTGCTGTGCAACACCCCACTGAATGACCAATAGCATCAGCATTTTCCCCAACTAATAAAACAGGGATAATAATAAAAACCAAAACCTAAAATTATGCTTTAGATCCCCCAGGCACAAGAAAGATGCTAAGTAAATACAATCTCCTCTCATTTAGAGGCAAAGAATCTCAGGACAGTAGGAATAAAGCAACATGCCTAGAAGCCACCACAAGCTAGTAGTTAAGATGTTGGCTTGGGAATGAGGAAGGCTAGTTTTGATGCTGTCTTGGTTCTGGTAGTTTGGACAGGTCACTCATCCCCCTCTAAAATAAGGATGTGGGGCCCACGTTTCCATTGCCTGGGCATCTTGTAAAGCCATTAGCCACTGTTGTAAGCAGGTGTGAAATGTCTAGTGGTTACCTGCTGAAATTTTATGCCCACTTTTGCACAGGTAGAAATGACTAGGCACGATGTAAAGCAATCCAGAATCAGCACTGATCTGGACAGTAGTTAAGACTACACTTGTAAATAGTGGGCAGGTCATACAATCTCTTTAAGCCAGTGGTTCTCAACCTTTCATGTGTAGTTGTTTGCACATTTAACAGAACTAATATTGTCTGGCACCCTTCAAAGGATATCATGTCATCCTAGGGTGCTGCAGCACCCTGGTTGTGAATCACTCTGGCTGCTCTAAGCATTAGCAGCACCATCTATACAATATGGGCATTGGGATTCATCTAAATAAATAATAATTGTGAAGAGTTAAGCCTAGTGAGTTGTAGGAAGGAAGGCCTTCTTGCTGACACCCCTGTACTTACTCCACTAGATGATGAATTATTGAGAATGTTTCTTCCAGCAAGAGCCTTTAGCTTAAAAAAGCCTTGATAACTGTGACCCACAGGAGTAAGACTGTGTGCATGTATACACTTTTGAAGTATCAAAAACCTAATAATAGGCATCCATTCATGCGCTGTCTCATGCCAAAATGTTGGGGATTGTTTTAAGTTTCCAGGTGCAGTACTGAGAATATATTTCAGCCACGAGGAAAAATACATGGGAAATGCAAATTTAAGGGTTGTGAAAAGTCTTGCACAATTTGATTTCCTCCTGCCTCCCGGTTGATTTTGATCAGGCCTCCTAATTAGCCATTTAAACAAAAGAAGACAGTGGTCTCACCTCTCAAGTCAAGGAGAACCTAAAACAACAGCAAAGGATAATGGGTAAAAATGAAAGCAAAACCTCCTGAGGAAGTGAGATACTCTTGAAAATTGGCTATCACTAAAGGAAAACAGAGAGAGAGAGATTATCACAATTGGCTACAGGAAGGCTATGCCTGTGTTTTAAATCAATTTATTGAAAACTGACACTGGTACAAAAGGAGGGGAAGTGGCTGTCTTTTTTCTTCTCTCTCTTCAATATGCTACCAAATGTCCAATCTAGCAGATATTTGAGTATGCACATGAATAAAACCTAGGCACCTGCTTAAGCATTTGAAGAATCAAAGCCCTAAAGACCCAAGGTCCCATACTCTGATCTTCACTTGCTTCAGTAATCCTTGTTTTTCTGAGTAGACCTTATTTGTCCAAGCAGTCCCAAAGGGGACAACATGGCTACTGACATGTGTATGGATTAGTGCAGTGAGTGGTCAGCTGCAAAGTCAGATTCCCACTTCTATACTCCTGACTCAGTAAAAACTCCCCATGTAGCTAGTGGGATTGTTGCCTGAGCAAAAGGATGAGACCTTCCATCAACTCTCTATCTACAGCATTTATTGCTATAGGCCATGGCTCAGCAATCTTGAGGCTAGCCAAGAACACTGCCGCCAAAATGAAAACTGTCTTCCTGAAGGTGCAGGCCTGCTATTTGCACTTAGTTACCTCAGTAAGAGGTGCCGTGGATTTGTTAGCTACTTGAAGAAAAGAAGTACAAACCCTGCTGTGTAAAGATTCATTCTCCCCTAACACTGCCATGCTCTGTGCAAGTGATCCTAATGTAAACTCAGTGAACACACTGCTGAGGAAGCGGCTGGCAAAGTTTTCATTACTCTCTGGTGAGGTCCATGACTGTTTTTACACCTTCTTCTCTAAATAAGGAAGCCATCTGTGAGATATCTGACCATCCAACTGATCTGTCCCTTTAGCATTCAATACGGCCTACTGACTGCCCAATGAAACCTCATTCCGGCCTCCTGTCTTGGATGACAGTAGCGAGCAGGTTAGTGTTACAGCTGCGGCAAGTGTACCTTTGGCAAGCTGTTGATGTCAGAGTGATGCCGTAGGGTGGGACAGACCCTGAACTATAAAGGTAGGTCAATCAAATATATCCAGGCTGCCCCACTGGAGAGCAGGAGCTACAAAACATGGTCTCCACCAATTTGGGCTCCGCTGGCCTGTCTCTGCTTCCAACCCAACTGCTCCCAGGCTTTCATTTCATGTCAGCAATCCCTATCTGCCTTCCAAAAATAAGCGTCTGCCACCATGCTGAAGGGAGAAAAACAAGAAGGGAGGTATTTTTAGGGCCATTAATTCTGACCACGTGCCCAGGAGGTGAACCGGATGGCCATAGCACAAAGACTCCTCATCACTATGTCCTGCGAAGCCAGCGTTCACTGGACGTTGCCTGCTTTTGTTCTTCTGGGTTTTCTCTCTGGAATTGTTTCATCATATCCAGTTGTCAGCAGAACTAACGGCACCTTGCTGGAGAGAGGATGGGAGTCTCTGTTGTCCAGGTCCATTGCTGGGATGTCAGGGGAGAGATCCGAGGTGAACTGGGAGAGCGACTATTTGCTAGGAATCAAGAGGCAGCGGAGGCTTTACTGCAACGTGGGCATCGGGTTTCACCTTCAAATCCTTCCTGACGGAAGGATAAGCGGAGTTCATGATGAAAGCCAATACAGTGAGTTGCATCCAGAAATGAAACAGCATAGATGTCACTTAATTGCAGTGAACTCGAGTAATTACCCTTTGCAGAATGCAAATGTTATTGCTTGATATTCTCAATCTAAGCTACATCTGTTGCCTTTTAAAAGTCTTTAGGATAAATCAGCACTAGAAACCTCCAGGCTAAAACATGTAATGAATGCATGGACAAAATTAGATACCAATTTATTTTTACTCTGCTTTCCTTCCCAGACTAGAAAAGTTAAATCCATTTGCAAACTTTATTTCTGATGCATTTTTCCCTACTCTTGTGCATTTTCCCCTGACATTTGAACCTGGAGGCTTTCATGCACTCACAGATATTACCTTGATTTTTGCCTGGTGATTTTCTTGCACATTGGAGGTGCTAAGGAATTGAAAGTGCACAGCTAATACAAGCTGTTACTATCAAATAAATCATTTTTACTGTTCATTTGGATTTGTTGAAAAGTGCCATTTACAAGTAGCTGATTAAGGTGAATTTCATTATGTAAACCACATTTCTTTTGGCAAGGATGTCACTCTTGGTTATGGCATTTTAAATAGGGATTATTCTCATATAAGAAAGTCTTGGAAAATTTAGCAAGAATGAAACGAGTGAAATTCTACAGAAAATGAATAAGGGTCCAAAGACATTATTCTAAAACCCTATAGAATGTAAGAAGGACTGAGAGTCTGTTTGTGTGTGTGTGTGCATGTATGTGTATGCGTATATATAAATATAAATCTCTTTCTC